GCCGATGTCGTCACTGGCGAGATGCCTCTTTTTTTTTTTCCTTCGTTCCGCCTTGACGGCGCCGGAAGCTGAGTCTTTTTTTGGACCGGACTTGGTTGGATGGATTGGCTCAACAGTACAGGATTGACATGGCCCTGCACGGGTAGCAAACACACATGAACTAAGATGCATGGATTTATTGGCGGCAGAGACTGCAGATAGAACAGCAAATTGATACCTAACAATTCCTTTTCCCATCCCAAGTTCGAAAACTGCATGTCCGGGCGGCTCCTTGGTATTACCTCGTCCCGTATATAAAGCCATTGATACATCTTTCCGTCTCTTGGACAACTTCTCTGACCCACTCTCTTGCTACTTTCAACCTCGACTACCTTACCTACCTTAGGCTGTCCAACCTGCGTGCCCCTCCCCCTCCTTTGATCTCACCTAGATCTCAAATCTCAATCTCACATCTCACTCATCTACACTCTTTCTCACAACTCTCACACCTAAACTCACCAAAACCCCCAAACCACAGCCAAAGATGGGTTCCCAAGTCACCGACACGCCGGCCCTGGCCACGAACCCCAAGTTCATCTTCTTCACCGACTTCGACGGCACAATCACCCTCGAGGACTCCAACGACTACATGACGGACAACGTCGGCTTCGGCTACGAGAAGCGCCGCGACGGCAACCTCGCCGTGCTCGAGGGGCACAAGCACTTCCGCGACGCCTTCCGCGAGATGATGGAGAGCATCCCCCTGCCCTTCGACCAGTGCATTGACCTGCTCAAGAAGAACGTCAAGCTCGACCCCGTCTTCAAGGAGTTCTACTTCTGGGCAAAGGAGCAGAACATCCCCGTCGTCATCATCTCCGGCGGCATGCGCCCCATCATCCGCGCCCTGCTCGTCCAGTGGCTCGGCGAGGAGGAGGTCGACGCCAACATCCAGATCGTGAGCAACCAGGTCGCGCCCCGCGAGGGCAAGAGCATCAACGAGGAGCACGGCTGGCAGATCGTCTACCACGACGACAGCATCCACGGCCACGACAAGTCGATTGAGCTGCGCAAGTACTCGTCCCTCCCCGACCGCCCCGTCATGTTCTACGCCGGCGACGGAGTCTCCGATCTGTCCGCCGCCCGCGAGACGGATCTGCTCTTTGCCAAGCGCGGCAAGGGTGAGTAATTCCTTTTGTTAGCTGTCTTTGTCAACTGGCCTCGGGATGAATCAAGCTAATCAACGAACGCAGACCTCGTCTCGTGGTGCGAGAAGGAGAACGTCTCTTTCGTCACCTTCAACGACTTTTCCGACATTCTGGACACGGTCAAGCAGATTGTCGACGGCAAGGTCAGCGTCAAAGACGCCGCGCGCGGCCGTATTCACCACTAGAAAGATTTCTCTTGATGCTAGGTACCAATCATGTGGGATAGACATACAGCGGATATATATGAGCTTGGGACGTTTCTTACGATAGAGATAGACATGAACGGCGCTGCCGTGGACGGCGTTAACAATGATATTTTGGTATTCGGATTCCCGCCACCACGTATTGTCTCGTGGTCCATGATTCTATGGATTTTCGTCCTTCTCATCCAAAATGCAGATCGCCAACCAAACTCCGACCGATGTTCGATCATCAGACCCAGTTTTACCACTTAGACATCCCAAACAGGGCATTCCGCCACGGCGGCTCATTTGTCCCGACTTTTGGGACGCAGAATGCCCAACAATGCATATCCAAGCATCTCACGTCTTCGTACTACTGATCTACTCACTCCGCTTGCGGGCGTGCGGGATCCCGTACCAAGACGCCATCATCACCGCAAACAGCCCAATGGCGATGGGGTGCAGCACCCAAGTTCCGGCAGCCTGCGCCAGAATACCCGTCGTGAACGGCGCCACGGCACCGCCAGAGCTGCCAAAAGCACTAATCACACCCACCCCGCTGACGCGCTCCTGTCTCGTCATGCCTCTCATGAAGACGGCCGCCGCGCAGGGGTAGATAGGCCCCAGCAGCAGTCCGACGATGGCCACCGACACCGCGGGGCCGACGACGTTGGGGACCCACCAGACCAACACCTGGAACACCGCCGCGCCGACGATAGCGAGGACCACGAAGAGCTTCTCGCCGACGCGGTGGGCGGGGTGGGATAGCAGGAAGCGGCCGAGGGTGATGCCGGCCCAGAAGCCGGCCGTGACGTAGCCGACGGCGTCCGGGTCGCCGTTGCGCACCGCGATGAGGAAGGAGATGACCCAGCCCGAGATGGAGACCTCGGCGCCCTGGTAGGCGAAGATGAAGAGGGCGCCGAGGAGGACGATGCGCATCTTGAGGGCGGAGAACATGGCGAGCAGCTGGGTCGCCGAGGTGGTGTCTGCGTCTGATCTCGTCTGTTGCTGGGAGAGCGGCAGGTCCTTTTCGTAGTGCCAGAAGGACCAGGTCGCGAAGACGCCGTTGAAGGCGGCCAGGCCCAGGGTGATGAAGTAGTACGTGCTCCAGCTCGCGTGGGCGCGCGTGACGAGCGCGGTGGCCATCAGCGGCCCGATGGTGCCGCCCAGGCCGTAGGCGCCGTGGAGGAAGCCCAGGGCGGTAGTGGCGTTGCGGAGGGAGCCGCAGAAGACGTTGTTGATGGCGAGGTTGAGGGACATGCCGAAGCCGATCATGAAGAAGGAGACAACTACCACCGGGAACGGGGCCAGAGCGAGGATGGGCACGTAGGCGAGGGTGATTAGGGACTGGGCGACGGCGAGGAGGCGGGCGCGGCCGAGCTTTGCGCGGAGAGACTCGAGGAAGACGGCGCCGAAGATGAAGCCGAAGGCATTGCCTATGAAGATGAGGGACACGATGGCGTAGCCGATATCGTAGTGTCTGTCTTTGTTAGCAGCCGTTACGATGAACGTGAAGGATGGGGAAGGGGGCTGTACTTCTCCATGTACGGGATCAGGGCACCCGGGGCGCTGTCGTTGAGACCGTTGCCAAGGTTGATGAGGCAGGCGGCTGCTAGACGGAAGCGGTTCATGTAGGGATCTGTGATGTTTGGGAGGGACTCGATGGCGACGGGAGTCGACGGGCGTGACATTTCGAGGTCGCTGCCCGAGGTCGTCGGTGTGCGGCATGGTGATTGGGCTCGGGAGGGTGCCGCGCTGCCCCTCGGGCTCTTTTTGCCTGCGTTTGCATTCTTGGTGTCGATACGCTGGAGCTCGATCGAGGCGTCCTCGCGATGAGGAGATCCCGGGTATGTTCGAGGAACAGCTTTGGCGGGCGCGGCGGGGAGGAGGGGAGGGTCGTTGTCTCGGTCTCGGGACTCGACCTCGACGAGAGTCTTGAACATGGCGGCCTCCATTTTGGAATGGATAGACTAGACTTCCAGTCTATACGAATGCATAAATTTTTTTTACTAGAAAAATGAGAAAGCCATGATGAAGTGAAACTGGTTGGGGCCAGTTATCTTATGTGAGCGAAGAGTAGGTGGGATGTCAGCAGTGCTGAACAATTACCACCCTCCATCCCACACAGATCAGGCAAGGATGGAGAAAAGATAGAGTCACAGAAATGTCACGATGGTGGTGGCGTCCGTGGATCTGATCCTTGACATTTCTGGCTCGTCTGGCATGCGTCGTATACCGAGAGGTAGGCGTTCGCACTATCTTGAGCCTATGGGCGGCAGGCGCATGCAGGGTTCAATGGGTGCAGATGGAGACCTCCTTCTCCACCGGGCGCGAGAGAACTCAAGAAAAATTTGAGAAGCATGTGGCCGTAGGGAGTGGCTGGCTAGGTCTAGCTTCTCATATCGTGAGTTGTGACGGGATGGGCTTCTCGTCTAGTGGCTGCGTGATGCGGGGGACGAGCGGGCGGATTGCTGGAGCCAGAGAGCGAGACGGTGTGAAAGCAAAGGAAGACATGCAGACATTGTCCGGGCAAGTTCCGGTTCGCAATTGACACGTCTGAGAGACACCAGAGTTGTTTGCTTGACGCTGTGTCACGGGCGGCGTTGATAAGACTTGACTGGACAAAGGTGAGCACTACTTTGGTTGGGACCTGAGATGGAGGGGAGATCACCGGGGGGGGCCTCTGGAGATCACCGGGGGCGGAAACTGAATTGCGAGAAAGCGGGTCCGAGATGAGCTTTGGAAGCTTTAGGCGGAGCAAGTCCGCCTATACAGGTCCGGATCGTGATGTAAGGCGCTGGTGATCTCTAGATCGATGTAAAGGGTGGTGGCCCAGCTGGTCGGATTTCCTCATGGGGTAACTTTTTCAACTGCAATGCTTTTGTAGGGAATTGTCTAGCTTCGAGGAGGAAGCTCCGGTGACTTGACGTAGCCCAGGTGCCCAGCAATGTCCCTGCTGTCCATCAGCGCTAGCGGAAGTCAGGCCTGCCCCGCGCCAAACCCCCATTTGACCAATTTACCCCACCACGCCACCAAAAAAAAAGTTGTCGAGTCTGATTTCCTTCGAGAATAATCCCCCACCTACGGATACAGCCTCGCCATTCTTTCCCTGATAGCCTCGCCAACCCCGAAACACCATGGCACGCACGAAACGAACTGCCCAAGCGGCGGCTGAGGAGACTTTGAACCCTCCTGACACTCTCGAGAAGAACCAGGCCATCGTGCGCGTCATCAAGGCTGAGGGCAACAACCTATACAACTGCGAGCTGCCCAACAAGAAGGATCTCGTTCTCGAACTGGCCCAGCGTTTCCGCAACACAATCTGGATCAAGCGCGGCGGATACGTGCTGGCGGAGCGGTACGATGAGGCAGACGGTCGGGTGATGGGCGAGATCATCAACGTCGTGCGCGATGAGAAGGCCTGGCGCAAGCAGCTCTACTGGTATATCAAGCCATTCTTCCGCCATACTCCGTGGCCATTGCTAACAAAACCAGGCCGAAAGAGTTTGCCAAGACCAGGTACGAGGACGAAGAAGACGAGAGCGACTCCAACGTCGGCAAGATGCCGCCATCCGACTCCGAAGACGAGAATTGATTTGCAAGCGATCTAACGACTCATGATATCCCACACACTTCACTGCTCCTTTTCCTCCACCTTCTCCTCCGGCTTGCCTTCGCCCGCCGCCGCAAACCACGCTGCGACAGCGGTGACTGCCATGACGCCGACCACAACCTGCGAGCTCGCGTCCGTGCTGGGGTACACATTCCACGCCCACTCTTGCGCCGCCCACAGCGCGTATACGAGGACGACGGGAAGGCCGCTGCGCCAGAGGAGGTACGGCGTTGACCAGGCTAGATAGGCGTAGAACTGGTAATGCAGAGACCTGGCGAAGAGCAGACCCAACACATTGGCCGAGAGGATCGTCGTGAGAACGTAGCGCGGCGTCACCCGGCTGGCCACCTGCCTCTCCTCCAGCCCTGCAAACGGCGACTTGCCCTGCAGCATGGGGGCCACGAGCGACGAGAGCGGGCGCTGGGCGGGGTTGAGCCAGCGGGTGGTGATGAAGACGACCAGTCCCGCGACATGTAGACCTAGAAGCGCAATCGAGAACGGCTTGCTCAGGAACGTCTCTTCCCCCACGAAGCGCCAGTTGACAGTCCACTTGAAGAAGAACTGCCGCGACAGCTCGAAGGCGCGGCCGAGGTAGCCCTTTGCATTATCCGCCACGAACGGGACGGCCATGACGATTTGTAGCTGTGCCATGATCCATGCCGCGCGCAGACTGCCTCCGAAACCGCGGCCGAGGAAGAGTATGACGCCCACGGCGGGCAGGACGAGGAGGAGCGACATTTTGATGCCGAGGCCCCAGCTGTAGAGGATCGCGCCTGGCGTCCAGAGGCGTTTCTGGAAGAAGTAGATGGCAAGCCAGAGGAAGAGGGTCGCGAAGCAGTCGTTGAAGCATCGGAGGACGAAGACGCTATGGAGGCGCTTGGAGAGGATAAGGAGGGGGAAGATGTAGGGCGGGACCTGTAAAAACGGCATTAGCTTTGTATGGCGATTGGAGGAGTGGGCAATTGTACCTTTGCCTTCCAGTAGCAAGCCATGACAATCGCAAGAGTAGCCAAGTAAAGAATGGCAAACAACTGCTGCGCCAAGAAGATGTCCTTTCCCTCGTCGGTGAGGTAGTAGAGTCCCGTGTACGTGTAGACATGGGCGGCCGGGTAGACGAGGGGGCCGGTGCCGCCCTTGATCTTGGTGTAGTCGCGTTCGCCGGAGACGAACTGAGCCACCTGCTCCATGTACGCCACCCAGTCGATTTCCGTGTCTGAAAACTCCAAGTCAGCTACTAGAAGCCCCTTCGCTTGTGAAGGGCAAATGTGGCTAACATGGGACTTTCCAGATGATCAACCCGCAGAGGACCGCGTCGAGCGCGAGGAGCAGTGGTGGGATAGCCTTGGAGAGCGCATGACGGCCATTTGCAATGTCGAGTACCAGGCGTGTCGCTTGGACATGGATTGGGGGCGTGGTGTCGGCCATGGTGCAGCTTCGGGAGCTGTGGACGTGTTGGTGGTGAGGATTGGTGATGGACAGGGGAGCTTCTGAAAGCTGTCGCGAACTGCAGGTACGACACACTGTGCGGGGTTCCTGAGTTGCACAATTCGTACTGTCAAAGCCTACCAGCAGTAAAAGTAGGGAATCTCGGCTAGCTGCCTCAAAGACTCAGCTTAATTATTTTTCTATCATAGAATATCATGCCCAATAAATCCAGAACGTTATATAAAAGGAAGAGAAAAGGTCAACACCACATGTCTACAACTTCGCCGGCCGGTCCCACGAGAAGAGCTTCGGCTCATTCGCCAGCTTCTCGCCCTTCTCCGTCCTGATCTGGTTCACCAACTCAACGACACCCTCCGCAGTGCCATACGATCCCTGGTATCCCCAGCCAGCGTGGCCGTAGTCGTGCACAATCGGCGTGCCATCCTCGAAAGTCTTGGTGTCAATCTCGATCCTGACGCCGCCCTCGCGGTACGGCCTCAGCCCGACGCCATGACGAATGATGCTCAGCGCCTCAATGCCCTTGCCGCCCGTCAGGGCAGGGCACAGGTCGACGGCGCGCTTCATGATCCTCACCGCAATGTTCGGGTCCGGGTTCGCGTCCCAGTTATCCTTGTCGTAGGTGCCGCCCAGGATCGTGCCGCCGCCGTTGGCGCGAGTCATCATGTAGCACACCTCCGTCGGGCCGTCGTCGGTGCCGGAGATGGTGGCCATCGGCTCGATCTCGTTGCGCACGACGACGACCTGCCCGCGCGCGGGGCGCACCGTCTTGTCCTCGACGCCGCCCAGCTTGCACGCCAGCAGGCCCGAGGCGTTGACGATGATGTCGGCGGGGTTGCCCGTGTGGTGCAGGCTCTTGAGCTCGTGGATGTGCGCGATGACGCCGCGCTTGAAGACGACGCCGTTCTTGCGGCACTCGCCGATCAGCCAGGGCAGGTAGAGCGCCGTGTTGATGCAGACAGAGGTGAAGATGCAGCCCGAGTGGGCGTTTTCGGGGAGCTCGTCCTGGCGCAGCTCGCGGAAGTCGGGCATCATGTCGCGGTACCAGGGGTCCACAGAGTAGAGAGCGTCGTAGGGGTTGCCGCCGGCCTCAATGTCCTTCTTGCGGCGGTATACAATTGACTCTGGCCCGTGTCAGTATGACTGTGACATGCTGTGAATGACGAAGTAACTCACTTTGGAAGTGAATGCCGGCCTCGGGCACCTCAGCGGCCAGACGCTTGATCTCGGGCCACGTCCTCCTCTCCCATCTGTTGTCGGAGGCGGGTGCCATGCTGGAGGTTGCCAGTCAGTTCCTTGTGTCTAATAAGGCGATGATCTGAAACTCACGGCAGGATGTTGGCCCCAGCCCAGGGGGATGTGTATTCAATGTCATAGTCACCGGGCATGTGCTTCGCGATGACAGTAACGGAGTTGGCTTTGCTCTTTGACAAGAGCAGGGCGGCAGTGAGGCCGGACACACCAGCGCTGAAGACGGTCAGTGTGTAAACGAGCTTGAAACTGGAGGCAACTCACCCAAGAACAACGATGTGGTTCGTCATCTTGAGAAGACACTGGGCGTTTTCTTGAGAGTTGCGATGTAAGTTGAATAACCAACGTGTGACTCAAATGAATCAAATCCTCGAGTAGACTGTATGCGGCGAAGTCAAGAAAGTTATTTCTGATTAGTAGATGCTCCCGATAGGACTTTGACACTCTCGGCTTTAAACACGTTTGATCGGGTTTGGCCGGTTCAGGCTCGGGTTTCCTCTGCCCTTTTAATACACCGCAAAGCAATTGATACGGGCGGACACTAGCTACGCCTTTGCGTGATTTGCTGCATGCACCATCGTGCCATGTTTATCGAAATCGGTCGCGCAGGGTGTCTGTAGGCTGGGGCGTCCCTTCCCGCGGGCAAGCAGCCCCGCGGTACCGGGGCGAAAACCGGCGCGGGGCCCAGCGCCAAAACGGCCATTGGAATTGACTCACCCCCGGCCCAACAGCGGAACTGAGCCCGCCCGACCCCGATAAAGGCCGTTGTTGTCTCTCTTTCGGCCTGCGCTGGCGCCATTGTCAACGCCTTGCGGTGACATGGTCTGGAGTCGTTGAATTGAGCCAATCCCTGTCAACCAAAGGCGTGGGCAATCTGCAGTCAGATGAGGTCATTGGCTCAGGTAAGCCAAGTGTACATAAATCGAGAGCTACGAACGCTTCTGCTCGTCGTTTGGTTGCAATAGGACGATACGATCTCTTCCGCTTTTAATCCACAATACCAATGCGCCCCAGGATTCAAGAATTGTACTAGTGCTTGACGCATAGTCGCAATGTCAAGCCATATGCTGAGGGTTCGATGGTACGTCCTGATCCACCTGCTGAAGCTGGCGCGTCGGAATCAGCAACTCGCAAGTCGTGTCAGCCGACTGCTGTTGCCCTTTCTGTTGTTAATGCCCGCTGGGCTAACCAGGGCCTACAAATGTCCTGATTGTGCATGCGGCCTGCGTTGCAACGCTGTATGCAAATCGCAGCTCTCAATATGACCAAATGTGTGCAAATAATCATCGCGACCTCGAAACTGATAGCTTAGGTAACGGGCATGTTTATTGTGGTGTGGTATCTAATGCCACGACGCGCTCAGCGTGGAGCCCCATCGTTTTGGCTACTTTTAATGCCTTCCTCCATCCAAAAACCGAACTGCATGTTTGTATATTTACTCGGCCTTGGTCTCCTCCGAGGTGGTCACCTTGGGAGGGAACTCGGCAGCGTACTTCTTGACAGCAGCGGTGAGGGCATTGGGGTTGGCACCAACGACCTCGTCGACCTTCTCGCCGTTCTTGAAGATAAGGAAGGTAGGCATGGCGCGGATGCCAAGGTCCTGGCTCAGGTCGGGAACCTCGTCGACGTCAATCTTGACGAAGTGAAGGCCCTCAGCCTCCTTGGTGTTGGACAGGCTGTAAGACAGAGACATGTTAGCGCATGCATCGAATGGTACGCAGCCTTGTAGGCGCATTGAGAAGGAACAGAATGAAGGGCGGACTTACTTGGCCAGAATAGGGGCGATGGCCTTGCAAGGACCGCACCAGGTAGCGAAAGCGTCGAGGATGATGAGCGGGGTCTCCTCCGTGTTTGCGAGCTTGGCGTTGAACTCCTCCTTGCTGTAAGGGAATTCTGTATTAGCAATCATCGTTCATAACGGACCGCCAGCTACCGCGGGGATATCTATTGCTGGGCCGAACGCCAAAGGGGACGACATGGAACCTTACCTCTTGACGTTGTGGACAACCATGTTGGGCGAAGAGGCGTGGAAGTTTCGGTAGGTGAAAGGTAGTGAGGTTTTCGCGATGCGTTGAACTGGACGGAAGAGTCTGAAAGACATGTGGGATGGAAGGAGGGGCACGCGGCGGTGACGCGGGAGGAAATCGGACTAAATAGTGAGGAGGGGGAGGGGGAAAGAGCAATGCTGCTTAAAGGCTTAGAGGTGTGGTTGGGCAGGCAAAGGGCGTCTGAGAACCACCAGCAGCGGGCAAGAATTCGCTCGGGAAGGCTCAATGTGGATGTCGTTAATAATGTGCTAAGTAGCTGCCCACAGCGCAGAATCGGTAAAGTGACATGGGCGTTGCCAGTAAATTCGGTTGTTGATTTGTCAGGACCTCAGGGTATCGATGACGCGAGAGGGACGCCATGGGAGTGGCGCACAAGGCAAGGATACTTGCTTTCTGCGAGTAATTCATATGGTACCAGATGTACCTTAGTCTGTGCGCCTGTGCATTCCGACACCATAGCTGAGGTTCCCGTCACGGTGCCCACTCTTTCCCTCAACGGCTCTCGGTCGGCGATCATTCGCGGAGCTCGGTCTTGATTTGATTTCACATCTTCAAATGCCGACTCACCTCACTCTTACAATCGCCTTGTTAATAAGTCAACCCATCTCGGAGCTTCCACTCAGCTGGCTTTCGTGTTACTCAGAACAGAATTCGTCAGCATTTTCAGCGATTTATTCCAAATTCACAGACCCATGTCTGCATCTGTCCGGACAATCTGTAGGGCTGGAAAATCCTACGTGCGCCAATGTCGAGGTCCAATAAAAACATTCCCGTCGAACCAACACACAGTGCCTTTCTAATAATAACATGCCAACCCAAGTCAACAGGCAATAACGCATGCTATGCCTGTCCCGCTGCCCGATTTCGCACCGCCATCTTAGCCGACAACAACTTAGCCATCACATCTTGATAACCGAGTCTGGCGGCGAGGTCAAGCGGAGATGCCGCGGCGTCGTGAGATCCTAGCGCCTTCTCGACATGGACCCAGTAGGCCGAGAACTCTTCCCCGACAACTCCAATCTCGAAGTTTCTCAAGCCGTCAGTGCTTCTTTTATGAAGCATTATGTCTAGAGCTGCGGTGTTTCCCGAAACCACAACAGCGCGGAAGAGATTGTCGCACAGGGTCAACGGACCTTTCTCAGTGTCCCTCTCGAAGAGATATTCGATGACTCTGACCCGACCCCAAAGACAGGCCAGCGCAAGATATTCATATGTGCCAATCATATCGTTCTTTTGCTGTAATGTCTTGCGATTCTCGATGAGAAAGATAGCAAGCTTCTCATCCATAGCGATCGCACAGCAAACTGCTTGGTGGAACCTGGCTGCTGGGAGTCGTGCATTCCGACTCGACATCAGCTTCAGGAACTCCTCGTTTGCCTGTTGACTTTGGCCGATAATTGGCTGTCTGGCAAAGCCATTCCAAAGCCTTCGACCATTGGTTGACGACAGAGTCTCTTGGATGGTTTTCATCGAAAATCCTCTGGCTCCATCATCAAGATACGTGTCGAAGAAAATCAGTAGACCGGCGTTCACAAGCTCGCACGAATACTCCAGAACCGACAGTAACGTGCGGACCCCCTCGACTTCGCCGAATGTTGCTCTCGAGAACAGAGCCTTACCTTCGACGTCTCGAGCCCCGTCCTCAACCAATGCTCGTATGTTGTATTCGTCGCACCCGAGTGTCGCTGCCTCCACCAAACCCGCCGAAATGTCTGTGCCTTCGGGCTCCTGTACACCAGCATTCAAGAGAAGTCTCCTGGTCGAGGCGTAGCCGTTCTCACTCGCCAATTTCAGCCCATCTGGCAGGGCCAGAAGCTTTTCATGCTCGGTCACGCTGTCCGCTACGCTCAGCAGAAGTCGCAGCTGTTCAACCTTTCCCGAGCCTGCTGCGAACCTAGCGGCATCCCCCCAACCAGCGGCACCTTTGGATATCAGGAATTCCAACTTTTCTTTCGTGCCATGTACGGCTTGTAAAAGCACCGGCATGTTCTCTACGATATGTCTTTTGGGGCTCGGATACTCTTGCTGAAGATCGACGCCCTTATCCACCAACAGTCTGGAGATGTCAGCGCTGGCAGTACCCTGTAGCGCGATCCCCAACTGCAAACACGAGGGCTCAAAGTTGACTAATATCCATTTGACAACTCGAGCCATATGCGTCATCGATGCTGCGACTAAACAGTCAAAGCCTTCCGTCGTGCGTGATGTTATCGTGAAAGACTGGGAGTCTATCAAACCCCTCATCACAGCATAGTATCCCCATCCAGCTGCTAAATGCAATGGGAACAGGCTTGCAGTTGAATAGTCGGTGACATCGGTCCGAAAAATGTCCCAGAACCACCAAGGAGGGTCCCACATGAAATACCACCAGGCTTGAAACCTAGCATCCCCCATGTTGCATAGTGCTGCGATACGTTGACGCAGAGCGGCATCGGTCTCAAACGCATTGCCTTGAAGCTGGGCGTGGCGTGCCCAGTTCTTTGCGGCGTAGATGAAAAATCGCGCTGTAGTCGGTGTAAGAGACTCCTCAAACGACTTATTCGACTTTTCGATCGAGCCAGATTTCTCGAAGGATGGCTCTCTCACTGGCCAACCCTTCAACAGAAGGACACCAATAGCGATTTGAGACATCGCTGAGTGACAATCTGAAATGCTGAGACAGACTTTCCAGGCCGTCGAATCTGCTGACTTGATGCGTAACAAAAAGTCTCGGGCCGTTTGATGTACGAGGTACACTGTCGAGTTCATGATTCTCACGAAGAAGCCTCCAAGCTTCTTCACGGTGTACTCCACATCTGGCTCGAGGTCGTCCAGAAGGTCTTGGACGGTCTCATGAGTGGAGCTGATGTTCATTGCCAGATTGATCTCCTCAAGAGTGAGAGGGCGAGTTGCGGCAAGGATGATCTGCAGCATTTTAGTCGTGGCAACTCGGTCCTCAACGCCCTGCAACGCAGTTTCGTACAGCTGGTCCAGACTGGCAGGGGTGACTTCAAGGGTGCTCTTCACCACGCTCAGTTTTCGCGATGGGAGCTTGGATATGGTTTCTAAAACCAAAGATGCCCAGAGGAATGTCCGATCAGCCCCCTGAGCAAGGCTTGTCTCGAGGATGGTACAGGCTTCAGGCGTTATCGTGCCTTCCACTTTCAACTTGTCGACCTTTGCTTTGACCATTGTCTCGATGTCTTTTGAAAGCGAAGACGTCTCGTTCTCTCCACGAAGACGAACACAGCTGAGATAGCGGAAGCGACTTTCAATGCTAGGCCACGGACGACTTGTCACGATGATCTTGAGACGCCCGAGTAACTTCCGGCTGCCAATCATTTGGGGGAAAGTGCTGACAAGAAGGTCGATGAGACGATTTCTTGAATGCTCGCTGCATTCATCTAGGGCGTCGATGATGACGATGATCTGCTTGTTTGGTAACGAATCGGATGCCTCGCACAGACTGTTCCACAAGGCCTCGATGTTCTGTGTGAAGTTTTTGGCGTCATTTGACGAGTACTCCTTCATTGCAAATTCGATAGCCTTGGCATGCACTTTGAACACATTGTGCAAAATGGCACAGAGAGCTTGGTGTGCATGGTGTCGCCCCTCTTCGCCGGCCCTGAAGAAAAAGTGGCAGACCGTGGCCTCAGAGGCTTGTCGGGAGAGAACATCGACAAGGAATCTAGACAGAACCGTTTTGCCGCAACCCGGATTGGCTGTTACCCACAGTAAGGCTGAAGAGGCATCTCTTAGCCAGCTTGTGAAAGCTTTGTGGTTGAGAAACCAGTGGCAAGTTCCTTGAACGGGCGTTTCGATGCTTAATATCTGGCTCTCATAAGCACCCCCTGCACCGGACAGCAGCTTGAGGCAATCTGCAAATACATTAGCTGATATGTATCATATTCTCACACATATCATACCTTTCTCGCTGTCCTTCAGCTTGCGAACCATCGTGTATTCGTTGGTCTGGATTGCTACCATCTCCTTTGAACACCGTGCGATGTCTCGAGCGGTAGTGGTATCTCGAAGATACGTCTCGGTTCTCATCGCCACATTTCCAATCATCTTGTAATTTCCAAGATCGACCTCTCCAATCCCTGGAGCGCTGAACCGGAAAAGACGATTGTCCTCCGCTAGCTGCTTATGCGTGCGGTGAAATCTGATCCACGATCCCTCTGTCGCTGTTGCAAGCTTGGTCATGGATCTGACAAGCTTGACGACATGGCCTCCAAGCGGTGTGCTCGGTTTCGTTCCTGTACCGATGCTAATGAGAAAGACGTCGCGTCCAGGCCAAAGGTCTGCGGCTTCGTGGTGGACCTCGAAGATAGGGTTATTGCTTTTGAAAGCCCCGTCGACGTACCCCTCCTCGTTGCCACGGCGGTATTCTTTGAAGTAAGTGCTTGCGGCGGAGGTCGCGCGGAGAGCCTCCCACATCTCAAACTTTGCAGAGTGCATGTCTGGTTGCTGCTTGTTGACGTAAGACCGCAGGAGGAGAAGTTCCTCGTCATCTGCGCGAACCGTCGCAACGAACCTGGAAAATCTGGTTAGACAGAGTCTCATCTCGAGATGAGCTAGAGAAGACGTGCACTTTACATGGAGACCCTTGTAAAGGATCCTGCAGCAGAGTGTTGCGAGAGCCAGTCCGTTCTTTGATGATTTGTTTGACCAGGTCTTCCATCTTGGCTGAATCGTACCGCTCGTTGGCGGATATAAGGTCGATGCTGCGGCTGAAAACGTTGCATTTCCAACGCTTGGGCTTGAATATTGTCTTTGAGAGCTTCATGTACACCTCATAGCACTCGTCGACTGACATTTTGAGGCAACCGAGCATGAGAGCAATGATGCTGGGGCGGAGATTAGAATGAGGAGACCGGTTTGGCGTAATTTTCCTACTACTTACCCCCCAGTGCTCGTGCCTCCGATGAGATCGAACACCTGCCATGGCTGAAGGTGGTCTTCTGGCTTCCTGTCTATGTTCACCTGGCGCATCACCTCTTTGAGGACGAGGATAGAGGATACACCTCTAATGCCGCCTCCATCTGGTGTGGTCAGTCATGTTGCCAGCGAGGTCAGTTGCGAATGTATTACCGAGAGAAAGGAGGCGGATTGGCCGATTTTCATCCATGCAATTTGATTCTTCAAAGTTGTGCTTCTTGGCCGTGGAATTCGAGTGCTACAATGGCCTGGAGTGGTGCAACGATGAGGAGGGAAGAAAGATCAAGAGTACACCATCGAGGGAACGGGCCGCGCGGGTGGCACCGTTCATACATACATAGTACCAACAATGTTGGAGTCCTCCAAGGCGCTTCATCAGAACGTAGGGCTGTGCCGTGGGGTGATTGAAGCAATGCAACTGCAAGCAGGGGTGGTTAAGCGCCAGAGTTGATCGGCGCTTAATGTTGGTGCTGTTCCGAGAACTTCAGCGGGATTTTGGCGGAGCCCAGGCCCCCAACTCATGTAAACACCCCTGTTTGATCAGGAGAGTAGCCTTCCCCCTTTATCGCTGATATTCATATACAGGGTCTCCGGGGATGGCCGCTGGGACTGTGTTTGTGTGTCCCGAGTTGGCCCCACACATCGGAGCCGACTCCGATGCTCAGCTGAATTGAGACAGAGTGTACCGCTGCCGCATCGGCTTCTACCCGAAATCCGAGGCATGTAGCTTGGCCAAAGGCAAGTCAATTGTTGAGCGCCAGATGAAGTTCAACAAGAAGTATCTTAAAAGAAGGAGCAACTTGGTGATTTGTGGTTCAGAATATCAACGTTCAAAAGCGAGTGCGCCGTATTGCTTGTATCGCGGCGTGGGAATGGGCCTTAATCCCGTGAGAATGGTGATCACACCTTTCCAACCCAAGTGTAAAAAGTTACGGACTCATAACCGACCTGCGTTAGGACTTTGGCGAAGAACCAATGGTGACCCTGGCCAGCCCCTCATGTTCGATTGGGGGCTGTGTGTGCCAAACCCCCGGTTATCTGTAGGCAGTGTCAGCTGGGCTGAATCGATGGAGTACCGTACCCGTCCCCAGGCCACATCTTCGTGCAACATACGCCAAGGCTAAATACCTCATGTGCCGCACCGGATTATTTGAGCCACTTCTCTGGAACCTCTTCCCAGATTCAGGTTTTCGCCGCTAAAATTATCATGGCATCACATCAACGGACCAACGTGGCGGATTTCCCTTACTCCCCACTCAACGAAAGCCGCAACGAGATTCGCGTTCTCAACTTACAGACACTTGAACTACCACCACTCGCCAAGTTACGCGACGAGCCTCCGGAGTGGCATGGTCTCGTTCACTGTACGCTGCAGCACGTTTCTCTCGACGCTCATCTATCAGATTACCGCCTGTTTGAATCAAATTCTCAAATACGGCCACTATCCAGGCGTAATAGTGACGAGGGCTGGCGCCGATTCTCAAACGAGCGATATCGCTCACTGAGCCCAACGAGGGCAAGCTCGCCGCCTGAACGAGACCGGTCGCATCAGAGGTACCATCGCTTTGCATGGGGCGACTACGGAGCACTCAGCTATGCTTGGGGCGATCAGACTGTCAAAGTGCCCATCATCATGGATGGCCGAGTCATTCTCGTGGGCCAGAATCTTGAGGCAGCGCTGAGGGCCTTGTCTTCGGACCCAGACTATGTTGGTGGCTTAAAGATTTGGGTCGATGCCATTTGCATCAACCAGAAAGACCTGGTAGAGCGCAATCGTCAAGTCAAGCGAATGCGTATAATCTATGGCAAGGCTCTGATTGTATCGATCTGGCTCGGCAAGGTTCCAGACGACGCTATCCACGATGTTGCACTGCTGCATGAGTGCATCGTAAAGTGCAAAGACGACCAAACAGCTTCCGAGGTACTTGAGAAAGTGCTCGCCGATCCGACAAAGAAGGAGACCATTAGGAATTCGATTGACATTGTCGTTAGCGCACAATATTGGACCCGAGTGTGGGTTATCCAAGAAAAGTGCCTTGGGCCGTTCAATCCCTCAATTCTCTTTGGGACGTTCCGCATGGGGTTGATCCCGTTGAAGAACTTCCTGCAGCGCGCAACCAACATCCGTGGTGCCGTAAGGGCTCGAGAGAAGGTGTGGCGGGTGCTTAAGCTCGTTGAGTTGGTTGAAGCTAACCAGGAGCGCGTCCGTCGTGGTCGTGCGCAGACTGCAGAAGAAAGGAGAAAGGACCAAGATGATTTGGGGCTGTTACTCATGGTTGGACGTCTCGCTGGCTCACTTGACCTGCGAGACCGGCTTTACGGTTTGATGGGGATGATCCCCGACTATGTGACGAAACATGTCGAGCCAGATTACACAAAAGATGTATCCGAGGTGTTCTGTGACTTTGCCAGAGCACTCGTATCCGGCTTCGAGTCTTTCGACATCATCCTTACTGGTACAACGGACTCTGACCTGGAGCTTCCGTCTTGGGTACCTGACCTGACTTCGGCATGGGACCCCTATCTCTGGGGCACTGACTGCGATGCTAGCTGGGGACAAGAAGCAGAGTTCAGATTGGAGAATGATGGGAGAGTGCTGGTGACAAAAGGATTCCAAGTTGACGTGGTGGACGGAACGGCACCTCATTTAGGGTGGGCAAGGGGAGGACTTTCAGTTTTGGAAGATGCTGTCCAGCCAGCTTGTACGACATTGCCGGAAAACGCGAATGAGGCAATCACAAGAACCTTGCATCGAGCAGCGATCTATGATTGCCACACGGGAACAACGGTCCTTGACATCCCATGGCTCGACAGCTTGGATAGCAATGACCCAAATGTTATCGCACTGAAGGAGCGTGGTTGGGGCCCAGTCCTGAATCATGCCAACTTGTACGACTTGAATCAGTTCCGAAAGCAGGTCGCCGCTCATTGGAGACCGTGGGGTCGCGATTTCAAGAGTTTCTTTCCCCGTGTTGAGGATGTGGGGATGTGCAAGAATCCTAAGGCGTTCGTCGAATCTTTGGATAAGCATGTGGGCATAGTATATCCTGTATTTACTACCGAGAGAGGGCTCTTCGGAACGGCTACTTTGAAAGCACTCAGGAAAGGGGACTCGATCTTCGTGATCAAAGGCTGCTCCGCGCCTATCGTTATGCGGCAACAAGGTAATGGTTGGCGGGTGATTGGCCAGTGTTTCGTGGAAGGTCTCATGCGTGGTGAAGCAAGAGGGTGGTTGGATAGCGGGGAGAAACAATTGGTCGAGATTCAAATTATATAGAGAAGAGACCGCCTAATTTTCCTGTGTCTGCGCGTCTATCTTTACTCCTATTTAAGACGACAGTCGCGACAGCGACTACAACGAGGATATAAGTATCAGTTAGAACGACGGTAAGGTAGAGTCTAGCCACAGGAAAAGTATTCGCTTAGCACATAAAAAATAGGCGGTCTCTAGATGAAACATTGATTTTGTGATGTTGAGATGATTTCCCTGCACTTAATGGTAAATCTCATACTGTGTCTACTTTCATGCGACGTATCAATGTCCTATGGGTATGCTCAATCCCCTCAATCTTGACCTTTGTGATGTCTTCAACCTGTTGGTGAGCAGTTAGGCAGGCTTGGTGTGAAGCTAACCTCTCTACTTCTTCAAGGCGAAGCAGCGTTCAATATTGTCTGCATTATTACCCCACCAATTCACCATCACAGCTCCCGTCGTTCCGAGAAAGATGAAGATGAACAGTAGATTGGCGTTAAATCCAGTGTCCAATGCGGCGCCACTGATGTAAGCCCACTTGTTCCAAAACTTGTGTCTGTACCGGTACAGATAGAAGTTGAAGAACGTTCCAACAAGGAAAGTTGTGAAAGGTCCGGTGCTGAGGTTTCCGTGGAAGGTGGCGGCGCTGGCAAAGAAAATGGTCGAGTTCCAAAGATCAAATCTTGCCTTAGGGAACTTCTTGTGGAGGAGCCAGATGACGATGGGAGCTATTGCGCCTGCAGGGAACCCATATAAAACTGGCTTGAAGAAAGATGATGCGAAAAGTTTCTTTGGCCCGACGAGGGCGTATTGAATACCAGCTGTGTTGTAGCTCTTGAACTCTTGTCCGGTCCACTGCCCCGCAGGATCGGGGACGCGGCCACTGACGTAGTCAAACTTTGAGGCGATGACCCATCGCATGACGCCATAGTTAATTGGAAGGGCGAGCATGTTTGCGATGATTTGGATGCCAATTACATCCCTAGGGGGTAAATGGAGATAGTGGCCAATCTGTTTTTCATGAGTATTGTTGCATGTGCCGAGGACTGAGATTGCGCCTCACCTTTTGGTCCTCAAGAACAATTCGAGCATCATACCAAACATTGCCGGATATGATGCGGTAAGCGAGCTGACCAAGTGGGTGGCGAGATGATCCACGGGCGTCGATCATATCTGAAGACGACTATCAGCTTCAATTGGCCAACAGGTACAAATTAGGCACTTACATCCATATATGAGTTCATTAAAAAAGCCAACCTTGATCGAATAATCCGACATGGCATAGACCAAACTCATGGGCAACATGGCTGCAGCACCAAATCCCAGTGCCACGAAGTAGGTCCAGGTCGGCATCCAGATAGACTTTGTGGCGACAATGACGAGAAGAATTCCAATGGGTATCGCTGTGAGAAGACCCCATTCCCTAGAAAAAGTCAGAACGCTGCGGGCTTCGGATATCCAACAGAGCTTACCACAAAGTGAGACCGGAATACTGTTGGATGATGCGGCTGTTTGAGTCAGAAACAATCTTACCCTAGCATCTAAGGTGATTGCTTACCTCAAACGATCCTGATGATATTCTCCTTTATCCTTCCTGGCTTTCCAAATCTTGACAATCTTGGGACCCAAAAACAAGCCACACCAGACAAACGAGGAGATGTATGATGCATACCACTGTATGAAATAGCATCAGAGAATATACCTACCCAGTAGATAGCTTTGATGTGTTACACTTACCATGAAAATCTCCCACGTGTATTGGGCGCCTGAGTAGGCAAGGCCAACTTCGTGGTATCTTGTCTCATTGACATGTTGATTCCCGCTCGAGTCAGTGTAGACTGGGCTAATTAGTCATGAATAGCCAATTGGGATAGAATAATATTACTCAAAGACTCAAATGGATAACTTGATCCATTCTTCTGGAATACGCCATTGGACATGATGTTGTAAGTGGGAGACCCCCACAGGTTCCCGAAGTACGCAACTGGAATCAAGATCCAAGTCTACGGAAAGATTCATGTTAGCATTGTGAATCCCAATGGAAATTCTGGCTTACTGTGATAACAAAACCAACGAATATGGTAACCTGAACGCTGTAAGGGTAGGTGATGACCGTAGATGTGATGTTAGACCAGTTGAGTGTGATGTTGAGAAGTCCGACACCCCCTCTGCCAGCACCAAGAAAATTGACGACATGGTTGCGGCTAGCAAACCAGCAAAGAGGCGCAAGTGCGGCAACGAAGGGGAATATGTACTCAGGCAGGAACTGCCAGACAAATGTCCCCAGCAAAATCCACCAGAATACCTGGATAAGAACGTCAGCCTTTTCCAAATTGTATGCGGGACAAGTTGCTTACCTTCATCTGCTTCTGTGAAACACTTTTGTGAAGCTCGCTTTTCCCTTGCATGCTTCTATAGAGCGTGACTTGCTGCAAAGAAAGTGGGAAGATGAACTCCGGATCATCGATCAAAATCTTTCGAACTTGATAGAGTTAGATGGTTCTCTTTGAGGCTAGGTTCTAGAGCCTTACCCATTGCCGCGAAGGCAAATCCGAGAAGCGATGCACCCTGCCAAGATCAGCTAGTGTAACACACAAATAGGCTGATGGAACTGACCCATCCGAAGAACAAAGCTATGGCTGGATTCATCGTGATGCCATAGTATAGAGCCGCATTCGTGGGCAGGAAAGCTGGATTAGGTCAGTGCAAGTCATAGCTCAAGGGGTGGACTGCACTAACTTGCCCATTGGCCTTGACTGCCAGCATTTGCTGCAATTCCAATGATTGCATGCTCTTTGATAGAAAATGGCCCAGGATTAAGAGAGAAAGAAAATCGGCCCAAAGGCACGGTATAAGCTGGCAGTATTCTGGCAAGTAGCCTTCCAAGAGGGGCTGATGCCAAGATAACGAAGAAGACTGGGAATGGCGCAGTAGTTGTTCGGAAGCTACTCATCATTCAGTTTCCATGCTAGATCAGTGTTCTCATGATGCAATCTTACTATGAGAGTTGGGACACAGTGCTGCCAATCGCACAAAAGACGGTCGAGAGTAGAATAGATCGAAAGGTTATGACGGGCAAGGACGGGTCATCTTTGAAGCCCACGACGGTCCGAACAAGCTCTGGAATATTTGCGAACTCTTCGGATTTAAAGTCATATTCCGGCTCCGAATCATCAGTCGATCCCCGCTTCGTTCCGTCTGGACTGTCATCTAGCCCGCCGAGAAAGAGCTTCTCCGTCGTATCAAGTACAGGATCAACAGCCACACTAGGGGCTTTGGAATCGCTCAGCGTAGCCTTTTCATCCCGTAATTGAGACATGGCTGCGTTGTTGCAAAATGCACGTTATGAGAGCAGACACTTGGGAAGGACGCCATTGCATTCAATATAAAGAAACTGACCACAGGATTTCCGGGCACTAACAGCATGCAATTGCGGATCTTCGTGATGTGCTGTGAAAGGAGCTGCGTTGCCACCCCGATAATGCAGTTTCTTCTTCAAGATGGGAATAGCTTATCATCTTATGGCAGGGGAAATAACAAGGCAATAATTGGTCAACGTTCAATCCCGCGAAGAACCCCGAAACGGCTTACTGGGAATGTCGGACGAGCTAGTGGCTGGGCCAATAGCGAAGTTGGCGATATTCTGCGTCGCACTCGCTCCGACCCCGAGGCCCATATTGGTCTTTCTCGCGTCGGCTATTTACCTCACAGTCTACCGAGCAACTGCGGGAATAGCATGGAATGCGGAGGGATCTTGTCTCAACGAATGAGGCATGCATTATCTGATGGCGTTATCAAGACGCAATGTAAGTGGGGTATGTCGAGCTCAAAATGCGGGATGCGGGCGAGTTCTGTTGGGGTTTAAACCAACAGCCTATGATAAGGGCACAGGAGACAAGACTCTCGGATGAACATGACCGTTGAAGACTGTCTACCGACTTGGCGCATGAGATAGCTCGACGATTATATCTATGCTATCTCGCAACGTTGCGGGGCGTACTGTCAAGTTTGACAGTTAGTTGCTCCCGATGTCGATGAGCTCGTCGACAGTTCTCATCCAGACAGTTGCCAAGTCGACTTATCTTATCAATCTCCAAGCTCTGCAGATGTAGAAGTAAGCCTACCATTATGGTCTAAGGTTGGAAGTAGACGTCAAGTGACCCCCCTCTCTCCTGCCTGTGTCTCAACATTTTTGTGACGACAGAATAGTAAATTTGATTTTGGCTTTGGGGTCACTACTGTGCCCAATATTGCTTTAACAGAACGAGACAAGTTTTCCGTAGAGATATGGACATCCAGCGACCCTTTCTATATCGACAGAGCCTCGAAGTCCCAGAAGTGATCATTGGATGTGATTGAAGTCTGTGCGTAAACATTACGTGAAGGCGAGGATCTATCTGTCTATTGCAGTACCGCTGAAGTTCCTGGCATAATTGCGTGTCCTTGGTTCAATCTCCATCAAGCCCGTTCCGAGATTGCATGGGCGTGACCCGTGAAGAGACGCAGACCGTCTAGCAGTTGCCACCATTGGAGAGAGACTCGTTGGGGCCGAGACCGCCAGTGGCATCGACGCCACAGCTGGTGGAAGTCTTGAAGTTGATCGTAGCGCCGGACTGGGAGCTCTGAACAGATCCAGTGGCGCCTGCGTCGACACAAGAGCTTCCAACGACTCCGCCGACGGAGTTGCGGACTTGAATGTTGCATCGCAAGGCTGAGGCCGAGGTGACAGCAGCGAGAACTGCGAGGAAAGAGGTGATGTGAACCATGTTGCTATAATTGTTTCTTACATTAGCATTTGTGACCAAGTCAAGCCAATGACCGACATGTAGCTTACTCTATTCTTTGAGTCGGAAGGACAGTTGAATATTGGCAGTGGGTGTGAGGTCGATCTGAACGAAATACTGTAGTGATGGGATAGAAAGCTAATGATCAGAAGCAATCTGTAGTTTGAGGCTTTCCGCGGCCTTTTGTATGTTCTTACATGTATCTTACCGGTGTATACTGTCACGAGATGTGCCAATCGACATGACTTGTTCTTATGCACGGCACTGATCCTGGACCTTCCCCTAAATGTTCGAGTTTAAAGTTCACTGGGGTCCAGGATACAACATCTTGTACTGTCTGGGAGGTTTCTGTGCTACGGAGAATGAAGACGAGTGATGCTTACCTTCTCGAGAATAGCCACGTTGACAAAAGTGCCCACTGACGGATGCATACAAAAAAAGACTTTGGCGAAAGACGAGGTACCTGCTGGATGTTTTGATCGACATGTATCGCCACTCTGCTGTCTTGGGTTGTTTGTCCTGTGTCTAGAATCACGATTCACCGGAAAACTAAGCACACTCAAAGGCATTGCAATTCGAGCACGCAAAACGTAAAGACAGAGCACTTATGTTTTTCCCATACTTCGCCCTTCTGTATGGGCGGCTAAACCAAAAAGACAAAAGGTTCTCGAGGAGTTCAAGATGAATAACCACTAAGCTTCTTCAACTAACGGCGTGGAGGCCAATGAGAGGATTGCTCAGCTTACTCGAGTCAAGGCAGGAATGCAAGCGAAGTCAGATTCATTGAAATAGCTTGGCGGGAACATGAGTCATGGACACATGTTCTAGATTACAGGGTGATCGTGAACCCGACGAAAGTCCAACTTGAGCGGACTGCTCCTTGTAGGAGCACCTGTTCACTTCACACTTCATTAGGCTCGTTTAAGCAGTTCTCCCCGCACAGTCGGGTTTTCTACAGGTTCTAGAACCTGTCACACCCGTTTTGTCTCAGATGGAACGGCTACTTTTCGATGCCGGGTTGCCCGTGCGAAGGGAAAAGCCAAGTACTTATCCACCAAATTGAGGATTGAACTCCGTTCTGGGTCTTTGTGCTTCTTAGATTTTCAGCAAGAGCGAAACAAGGAAATATCCACAAGCTCGCATGCCACTGTATTGCAGCATTTTTGCCATGCCATGCCACTGTCATTTTAACTTAGAGCCAAGAGGCCAAATAGGCAATGAGGCCACAGCATATTCCGCGGGCTGATCTAGCGATTAATGAAGTCAGCCACAGGAGGTTAAGCTGGATGCAAATCGCAACCTAGTGGATTAGTGATGAAGGGGAAAAAAAAGACTACGTTACAATAGTACAGTCATTTGACAAGGTCACGACTTTCGTAGTTGAGCATAGCGACGTTTCAGAACAATGACGTATGATTATGTACGCACGCTTACAGTGACGGTCAAGGAAAAGTATTGGAGGGTTGCAAGTGATGGTTCAAAGCTAATGAACATTCGCGTTGTGCATGTAAAATCCGCCATGGCCAACGGTCTATCCTATCTTCAAGAAGTCAGGCCCCGAACCCTTCGGAGATGCGCGACTATTCGGAACGTTCAGGAATCATATTTCGAAGCCCCTCAAAGAGATCGCGTCGCATGTATAAGATCCAGCCACCTGTAGCATTGCTGATATTTTGCATGCGGGATAGTTTGGACAAGTGGTTGGATCACATGTCTGTCCAACATGTCTGTCAGTTTCCGGCGAGCCTGACATCTATTGTGCGCAAGTACAGACAAGGATCAGCAATGTTCAGTTATCCAAAGGCCCAATAGATCGACCATTATCTTGGCATTCCGCCCGCGCTGCTTTCCGGTCGGGTCGCAACTTGCTTCCTTTCCGATGCCCGGGGGCGTGAATCATTAATCGGAAAGCTAGAGACATGTACTTTTACAATAGTCCTTAACCAGAAAAGCTCTACAGATGTTTTCAGCACACCGCGGAATGCTCCCATTACCAGCCGGATAGCCGCTCTCCTCTCAGCCAATGCTTCCATCGGTTATATTCTGAGAGCACAGACGACACTGCCACACTAGCAATGCTGCTCAATAGAAACAGGAAACCTCAGTTCCGGTTCGGGAATTGAAAATCGCTGCAACAGGCAGGAAAAGACCGGGAGAGTGGGCGTGTAAACCACAAGATAATAACAAGATCCTGAGCAAAAGTGGCCATCAGCGCATGAGAAGAGGTCGAAGGCTCTTGCATGATGCAAGTAAAAAAAAACAAATAACGAACCCACGAGGTTTTTAACCGGGCCTCAACTTCAGAAAACGAAAATATTCCACCTTCATTGACATTGTGGGGGGATAACCCAAATCTCACGACACTCGCGCAAAACGATCGGCGGATTTTGGAACCCTATTGCTTGAACGACAAGGACAAGGCGAAAGAAAGGGGTGGCCCTATAGTGTTTGAGGGAGACCACGCTTCTCCCCAAACGCCATCGTTTGCGTGGGTCAACTTGTGGAATGCCAGATATTCCAGCATTTACGGAGAGTACGTCTCTCAGCCCCTGAGGCGATGGGAATATGTGATCTGGTATGAAAAGCGATGGAATCTCCTTGGAGCGAAAGAACTCATTTTCAAGCATTGGAAAGCACATATGGAGCTAGCTGAGGAGATTGATGGAGACTGCGCCTGGGGTCCATTAACAGTTTCAGACTCTTCAGCTGCCTTTGTTCCAAACGACGACGTTGTAAGAGAGTCAGCGGAAAGGCAATTGCCAGATGCGAGGAACAGACAGGGTGTTGGCCCAGCAAGAGAAAGCCAATTTCATGTGGTACTCGGCATTAGGCTGTGGAAGACGAAGACGAAATGGTAATGAAGGAAGGATAGAGGGTCAACTACGCAGTTTTTCACGATCCCACGAAATGTAAAATTTCTCCTGTACCTCGGCTATTACCAAGGGGCTCTGTTTACTCCTTACACAAAGTCACGTCGCAGGTGTTTCCGGCCGGCTTTATGACCAGAAAACTCACCATGTGCATCATATCGTCCGTCATATTGTCTGCAAGCCGCAGACCCCGACACTTGCGAAACAAAAGAGCGATGGCCAGCCTCAGTTCCATCCAGGCCAGGTGAATTCCGATGCACGATCGTGACCCATGACCGAATGCCGAGAAAAGTTGCTTCTGCTTCTCGGTCGGAACTCCAGGCATGAACCGAGACTCGTCAAATCTAATGGAGATAAGCAAAACAATGTCACCAAGTTTACGGAGCAGAGTATGCGAAACTTACTTCAAGGGGTCTGGGAACACTTCGGGAAGGCGATGGATAGTGTACGCCTGCAGTGCTACTTCTGTACCTCCAGGAACAAAATAACCTCCAATGGTAGCGCCGGATGGCGGTGTCTCTCTGGGGAAACTGCCCGATGTAGCGCCGTAGAGACGCATCGACTCGTAGATGACAGCATTCAGTAGTGGAAGCTTTTCCAGAACAACGTCGTCGAAATGATCATCCAAACCTGCAACTTCATCCTCGAGCCGCCGTTGGAGCTCGGGTCTCTTCAGGATCGCCCAGACGACGTATGCCAGTGAGTTCGAAAGCGTATCGGATCCAGCAATGAGCATGTTTGAGGCTTCAACTCGGATAACGTCGTCAGTGAGCTTCGACTTTTCGTTGGTTTCGCTTTCTGCCAGGATTGTAGCAAACAAATTCGCCTTGTTTTCCTTATTCCGGCGCAGGTTTTCGACAGCTTTCTGACCGTACTTGATCATCTCCCCTCTTGTGTTGGTTAGTAGCTGCATTGCCCTGGGTGAAAGCCGTGAGAGATGACTGATCAAAGCGTGTAGCCACGGCAACTCGATGCGTCGGGCACTGGCTGCTGCTGCTGCTTGGAGAACCTCGACGAATCGGTTCTTCTAATGATTGCTATCATCAGCCTTTTGCTCTTGGTATGATGCGAGATATCAAGACGTACCTTGCCCAACTCTAACAGCTCGAAAGACTCTCCGAAAGCTAGCTGTCCAACAACATCGCTGGCCATGAGTGTCCACCATTTCAGGACGTCAGAGCGGCCCCCCATCGCTTCGGACCGAATGCAATCAGTTGCTTTCTCAACTTTCTCGCGCACCAATGCCTCGCAGTTCTCACGAATCGAAGATGTAGTGAACGCGCGAGCGAAAAGCTTACGGCGGGCGGCATGCTCCTTTGGATCGATTATCGTAAATATGGCAGGATTGGCACCACCCGAGATCTGTTTATAGAACTTCGACTTGATGAAGCCAGACCCCATCCGATAGATATCAATGTAGCCATCGGGGTCGGCCACGGATATCTCTTCCGGGGTGATGCGTACAACGGGACCATAGCGCTCATGAAGCGAGTGGATATAGTACATGCGCTGGCCCGTGACGGTGTAATATTTGAGAACCCAGTGCGTGAAGTTGATATACCAGGGTCCAGGTATGTGCTTCAAAGGCGAGGATAGAGCAGCCGCGGCAAGCTGAATAGCGAGATCAGTACCAGGCAGCTGGCGGCCAGCAAAGGAAGAACTTTTGGACTCACGCGAAAGGTTGCGGCTATGCCGAGAATAACCAAAGCAACAAGCATCGTGATCGGACTGAGAAGAGCCATTGTGCTTCGTCAGAAAACAGTCCGTCGAGGCGGGCGTGAAGAGGGCGACAGCGTGTGTGTTATATTGATTGTCAGTCACCGGTTGCGGGGCTCAACTAGGGATGAAAGGTTGCTTGGGCGATCAACCACCTCGAATTGGAAGTTGAAGGTATCGGGACAGAGCTGGAATGCAGGTCTCAAACCCATCGGCCATGAGCAAAGAACGATCGTAAAACATTGGACCTATTTTGTAAGCAGTCGGAATAAGGTTTCGCGACAATCCCGCCCCTCTTCGGACAGTAGGACTATCAGATGCCGCTTGCTGTGTAACCTGTATCGTCAATATGCAATTGCCACGTCGCCATTGGCTACGTGAGACATGTCCGACATGTCTTGGATGAAAGCCAAGAATTGGAGAGCACTTTCGTCCTAGTGGCAAAGTCTGTTCCGCCAAAGTTACCGGTGGGAGTGCGGGTGCCAAATCGATCCTTGGTAGTCTAAGCGGCTCTCGGTGTTGGGCGTGGACCGAATGGTCAACTGTCATGACGGCTAGGATGAATTTCGAGTCTGAGAAACATGGTTGCAAAGCCTTATTCTTGTATGATTGGTCGATGACAGCATGTCCGAGTCTTCACTCTCAACAACTCAATCAGTGTAATGAGACAGGCAAGCAAGTTGTAGCACTAAGAGCTTTGCACGAAACACTCAGGGACTTCCCTTTCCGTAAATCTGTAATCTATGCACGAGATTTATGGTAGCCTACCTATGGATTCTTTTGAGGGCTGTCTCTCGCATCCAGCGCTGTCCATAGTCCCATTTCATGCACGCGCATTGAAAAGGAAATTAACATAGTCACGTCGGTAAATGTGCAATAGAAGGGGCTTGTAAGATTGCTTTTTTGGTCATGATATTTCCCTCGTCCAAGTTTCCACCGCAGAACTCCAAAGTTTCCCTGCTATAAATACAAATTCATGTCGGCTTTTCCCAATCCTTTTCATCCCATCACAGACGGCTTTGCTTGATCAAGTGAGCATTGACCGGGGTGATGGCCTTGCCCGTCTTCTCGAAGGACAGGATATTCTCCATGCCCAGTCTCTCAAAGCCGATGTGGGCGTCTAGTGAAGCTCCAGCATTGTGCGACAGGACCTCGACATTCCTCATCTTGATGAGCTCCTTGCTGACATGAGGCTCGTTGAAGTGGACGTCAAGTCCAGCGGCAGATAGGTGGCCGCTCTTCAACGCAGCAACAAGAGCATCTTCGTCAATCAACTTGCCGCGGGCAATGTTGATGACCTTGGCGCCCTTCTTCATCTTTGCGATTCCCTGAGCGTCGAGGAGCGTCTTGCCGGCGAAAGGCGTCGCGACCAAGACACAGTCAGCGGTAGCGAGGAGGTCGTCGACGTTCTTGTAGTATGTCGCGTCCGTGGACTTCTCGAGCTCGGCAGGCATACGGACGACGTCGTTGTAAAGGATCTTCATGTCGTGAGATCGGTACGCCTTCTCTGCGATTCTGCGCCCGATCTTGCCGAAGCCAATGATGCCCAAGCTGAAGCCATTGGGGTTGCGCGAGACAACAGCGAGGTTCTTGTTGGCGTCGACGAACTGGTCGGGGTCGCCTGAGCGCGCGGCGGTGGATGACCACGAGAAGAGGCGGAAGATGGAGATGAGGAGCCAGATGGCGCCGTCGGCGACAGATTCCGTGCAGGCCGCCGCGGCGTTGCAGTAAGTCACTCCTGTATGATGGTTAGTCCAGTCTGGCGACAATGTAGTCGCAATAATTGGCACAAAGTATCAATGGCTTCGTTGCAGCGTCCGAGCGACTTACCCCGCTGTGCCAGCGCCTCCGTGTCAACCCAGTCGAACCCAGCTCCGGCACTGGCGTAGACCTTGCATGATGAGGGCAGAAGGGAAATCAGCTCCTTGTCCCAGTTGCCCATCTCTCCTCCCGTGTTCCAGAATGGGCGGTAGATGGCGAAGAAGTCGCCGAACTTCTTATCCTTCAGCGCCTGGATGAACTCGGCGCGCGGCATGCTGTAGGAGCGCCGGATCTCGAACTTGGAGCCGAAGTCCTTGTAGAGGTCATGGTTCCACTTGATGTCGTCGCCGAGCTGGAGAACGATAGGCTTGCCCATTTTGTTGACTCTGTGAGACCGTGAAGTAAGATACGTGATGTAGGTCGTGGTTTGGCGAGTGAACAGGAGGTAGAGGCGGAGGGGTATCGAGCTCACAAAAGTTGGACTGAGCTGTCCGAGTGCTCGGGGTATTGCCCGCCGTGATATTTATATCGGACGATGTCCGCAGTCGGGGTGTCTTGCTCTTCCTTACATCATGTCACCGTCTCGCGTCTCCCGATTGGATTTGTTGGGCGCGTGTCGGCGATATTTTCCCTGTTTGGGGAGCTTTGGGGAGCTATCCCGGCAGCACCCCCTGGGCTGGGTGGAACGGCCCTGTGTCGCCCTGTGTTGAGCTACTGGAGCTACTGCATCCCCGCCCCCGCAAATGGCCCGTAGTGGCCCGCAACAGCTCCCACGGGGACACTAACGCACGACGCCCATTTGCCGTACGTCCAAGGATGGCCAACTGCCCCGAATGCCGCCAAGCCCGAGCATCCCCGCGTATCCCCCCAGAGTTTCCTGCATACACCGCCAATAATGAGTCTCCGAACCCCCGCTGACCTGTTGGTCATCGTGGGTTTTGCTTTTGTTTCTTGAGTTGGTCCGGTTAAAGATGGCATTGACGCTACGCAGCCAAAACAAAACATTCCCGCGGAATACCCACCACCAAAGCGGATATAAAAGCCGACGGCCACCAACCACCTCACTTTAAGAGACAATCAGTTAACCAGTCTTTTACTTTCACTATGTACTAGCTTTCTCACCCTGATTTGAAGAGCTCTCGATTACCAAGAGACCACGTCAACATGACTTGAAGAGAGAAACCAACACGACCAAAATGTGCCAAGGCGATTCAACAGCAAGCTCAAAATGGGTTGAAACAGATGTTCATCGCCACGAATGAAACTGTGAAAAAAGCTCACAACCAACTAATCAGTTTCCGAACTCAACGGTAAGAAGAGAGAGGGTATGTCTTTTAAGAGGTTGTCATCTACATCGTATGAATTTGCGAAGAACAGACAGAGCAACGTGGATGGTCAAGATACTTGATAGGGTAAATATATGCATTTGACATAGACCGTAGGATAAAACATTACATCGCGCTTTTCCAAGTGTTAAGATCTCTTCTTCGTAAGCTTCACATCTCTCCTGGGCCCTCACCCATGGCCAGGTCTAATTCTGCCCAAAATCCATCACCCCATACGCCCCAGGACGAGGGATCCATCAATGCCTCCCAACTGCCAGCAGTTGCTGAAGTGGCTGAAGCTATGGGCTGTCCATTATGAATTACATCATCACATCCAAGATACTTGAAAGCGCATCTCTCAAGATATTTTCGAGCTGTGGCTTCTCCGCCGAACACGGAAGAAATGCCTGGTGCCAGCGCCGCAGGGCCCTCGGTATCTTGCGAAAGATTATAAGCTTTGTCATCAGATATAGACAAGATCTGATGCAGTACTTTGAGACCATCATCGATAGTTGCGATGGAGCGTTTGTCTTCTGTAGTTCCCGGTGCAGGGGGTTGCAAGTCTGAAGCTATCATCTCAATGTCATGGCGGATTGAGGCTGCGTTGGCGGGTTGTTCTACCAGAAGAAAGGTAGCAAGAACAATGGCAGCCGAGATGACGTGATACGCCTGGATTCGCAACTTATCTGATCGTCGAAACCGTGCCTCGTCGGGGGAGCGAAGGGTCTTGTACAGCGTCAACGTCGATGACCCCGCCGCAACACAGCGTTGGAACATTTGGCCGGCCTGGAGCTGAAGAAATGGCCGGTACATCCGTACTCTCTGAACTGCTATGCAGCTGTCTAGTAGATGGTGACCCCACAGAACAAAGCCAAAGTTTGGTGGAAGTGCCGGAGCCTTGCTTTCCACACTCCGTGCTGGGTCCTTGAAGTACCACGGAAACTGGTCAGTGATGGCCGTAAGCTCAGCGTCGATGCTTGACACAAAATCATGCGAGCCGAGGTTCGCACCATTGTCCAGCCAAAGCTTGTTGAAGACCTTGAAGATTCGACCGCGAAAATGGTGCATGCTCATCTCAGTCGGCTCGTTCAGAGGCTTGACTTGAGCATGTACAGAGTTTATGTCGACGTCATTACAATTCGAAGGGAACGGGACATTGGAGAGATGCGATTGCAACAAAGGAGGCCTTCCTAGACACAGTGATTGGAACCTGCGCCATATTAGAGAACCGGTTTTTGCACCTCAGCAAACAACATTGAACGTACGTATCTGCCCCAGCAAGATCCCACCAAACTCTGTGCCGTAATTCCCTCTCAAGGCAGTCAGAGATGGATGGTGGACTTTCCCGGTCAAGACCAAGAGCTTGGCCTTGGCGGATAGCTTGTGCTAGGTGCCTAAGGGTGAAGATCTTATTAGTTCTGTCGACGCATGAGGTACCCAGACGAAGTTTTGCTGAGACTTACGCATTGAGAGCCTCGATGTCTTTGGTTCCGTACCAGTACAGCTGCGTTACAATGAAAACCTGAAGCTGTATCAAGGTCGGCTTGGACTCATACCCGCCCGATTGCAAAGATTGGCGGGAAGCAGAGTACCATCGATGCGACAGGGCGGCGAGGTCTGAGACCTCAAAGCCGGCTGCTTCAGCCATGGGAGCCGGTATATAGAGTGAACTGAGCGAAAACATGATAAACAGGAGTGAAAGCCATATCAAGTCGACGTCCTCAATACTTTTTGACCATAACATGGAGTATTGGGCGCGGAATGATGGGGCATGGATAGCATGATAGATCCAGTTGATGTTCTCAAAGAAGTAGGTGACCAGTAAATCGGCTTGGGTCTGAGCAGGAAGCAGGCTTAGTAGATACCGTTTCCAGAACAGTTGAGGCTCATCAAACAGGGTTGGGATCTTGGATGAGAATGGATTTTGTAAGGCCAAAGACGCCACAGAAAGGTTGGCTTCATTGACAGGAGGAACTGGGATGTTCGGTGGGTATTGAGGGGACCCGGTTGCATATTGCATCGGCCTCAGTCGCGTTTCAATGATCGACTGAAGGGTCGAGTCTAAGGTCACCGGTGCCGTTCGAACTTGACCACTTGACACATTCGGCTTTGGTTTCGTGACACTATAATCATCCTCCGGGGTGTTGGTGATCGCTGCGACACTCAAAGGCGTTGACGGAAGTGTACTCGCAGGTATTGCCACCTCGGTCATGCTTGATTGTGCTACAGGCGCCGATGTAGCCTTCTTCCCAGACATCTGAGGAAGCGAGGAGGCCACGCCACGCTTGATCACGCTTTCAGGTGCCGGGTGTAGACGGCATTGGTCTTGTCGGTTGTATTGACGACACGTGTGGCACGGTATGCTCCTATCGCATTCTTGTACAGTCAGTTCCAATAAGAAGCTCTTAGTGGCTCGATCTCGCACGAGGATGCCCAATGAAAGCCTGGACAGATTTTCTCTTACTGAGTTTGTGTAGTCGGCACGGAAGGCAACTCAGAATCCTGCGGTTCCTAGTCCTTTTCGGCTTCGGTGTGGGCTCCTGTTCTTGACTTGACCGACCCAAGCCGGCTTCCGAAGGGGGAAATCCCGGTCTTAATGGTTGAGGCATGTTGCTTCAACTATGACTGTGCATCCGGTGGCTCAAGGATATGCTCATCTGCTATTGTTAGCACAGCCATAGTCATAGAGAAAGCATGTCGCAAGTCACTGGTGTGTCGCACCAGAGAGATCTGCAGCGCTCTGATTGCCGCACCGCCGAGCAACGCGAGCCCGGCGCTCAGTACCGATTGTTGATTCACCGGCACCGATGTGGATGCTACTTTCGGCGCTTCCACCGTTCAGCCTACTGCCAATCGTGCGGCCAGAGGATAAGTCGAGAGTATCCACACAGGGACAGTGCGTCGTCGAATCGAATGATGCCGTCGGAGATACCAAGCCGGCTGAGTGCGTCGACCGGGGGTTTGCCAGACTTAAACGAGGTAAGGTGTTTGTCAGATCTTGCCAGCCATGGAGATATGTGTGATGAAGGTTGTTAATTAGGACCTGAAAATGGCAAAGTCGCTGCCTAAATGAGGACGAAAAGACAAGCATAAGAGACATCTGGGAGTACCACGGAGGTTCCGCGGCGTGGGGCGCTAGCAGACGCCACCGAGTCTGTCATTCTTTGAGATCTTCTTTGAGCTCAAAATGGAACCCTTTGTCGGCGAAGCGCGAATCTTACTCAATCTAGTGCATGAGTTGAAGGCCAGAAGCAAGGTTTTGATGTATTCCAGAATTTATCTACTGCCAAGATGATGACTGAAGCTTGAAAGGAGGTTTTGATGTGGACTGCAGCCGTGCTGAGAAGCCACCTATTCTTCGTGAGTTTGACAGAGTTTTGTGTAGGTTTAGATCGCCTAGAGACGTATAATATAAGCAGCATCGCAAGCTTGATCTCCATGTTCTCGCTTTTGAAAGCGTTTCCCATGGTTTGCGATTAGACTTATTGGAATGTTCAGCAAATTGAAGTTTTTCACGTCAGCAAATACCAGCCCCAGTGACTCCGAATAAACGACACTTTTACTCAGTTAGGTACCGATGACACAAAAACCTCGAATCGGGAAACCAGATACGATTATGGTGCTTTGTCCATTCTTTCGTATGTTAGATAGCAAAGTATGTATTCGCATACGACATGGACTCTACGCTTCCAGCCCTTTTTCACTGTAGCTTTTTGCAAAATGACGAGAACATCCAGCAAGTGCCGAGATATGTTCCATGAGGGCGAGTAAATCAAAGACTTCGGTGTCAAGGCCACTTATGATACCAAGCCCGAAATTGGCGGAGCCTGGCAAGTCGGCGCCGACGTTGTTTTGCAGGTTGGCGGCGGTGTTATCCCCTGTTTCAGGATTTCGTGGCGATGCGGACATGGCGACCATCGGCCGTGAGAGTTACCTTCCAAGAAACAGGGTAGTCTATATTTGCAAGCCGGCCAAAGACATCATATGCGTCCTAATGATGGCGGAGTGCCGGAACAGTGCCGAACAGGTCGCCGCCAATTGAACAATCACCGCCATTCGTTTACTGTCTCGACTTCGGTGAGCCAATATCGACACACGGCTTGATGGGCGCGATCTTCTTGATTGATTTCCACGAGATCAGGGCCAACGAGCTTTTGACGCAAATTCCCGGTGCTGTTGGACTGCTTATTAATGCGCAAAGCAACCATTTTAGTCGGCCAGATGCCGGTAGAAGAAATGTTGTGAAACGAGCCAAATTAAATCAAAACTAGTGCAGAGCGCATTCAGGATCACACGTATCCTGCTAGACATCCATTAAGTCGACAAGATATCCCGATCTAGACCTCTTCACTTCCGTCACTCGTCGACGAAAGTCAACTCGGAAGCTAATAATGCTGCAGCACACGGGCCAAAGTAATCTAGAATCATGCTTTTGTTTGCACGATATTTGGATTGCTCCATCTCGTCTGATGTCTAAGTTATTCCGAAGGACAAGCAACCACTTCGGTCGGCCTTCGGATTACGCCGACGGCCTCCATGAAGTGAGCACATTTGCATCACCAACTGTGCAGTCAGCCACGACAACTTGAATTCATATTATACGCTTTTACAATGAAATATCCTCCGAAGATGAGTTACACTCAATACATATATTGCCGGAAAGGCTGAACTTCGGACGGCAAAAACGACGCCGTCGGTCCGAAGAAGTAACAACTACTAGGCAATTATCTGCGAACTTTGGAGCGCTTCCAGTTGTATTCCTAAACATATTCTAAGTGGCTCTTCTCGTAGTATTCGCGCCCATGATTGATACTCTACCTTTGCATCGCGATAGTTCTCGACGAAGCGCTCTTTGTCGTCAACCCCCACAAGAAGTGGCCACTCTTCCCCCAGGAATGTTGTTTTACGAGATTTGCTACACAGTGAATAAGGAGAAGGGGAAATGCGAAAGAGACAAACCGCGAGAGTAGAGACGGGAAATGATACGTGGAAACCGCATTAACATCACAATCTTAGTGGTTCCGCAAGCACTGATACGCTGGATTCTGGTGAAGAGTTCGCGGGATGTGGGGGTTCTCGTTCATGAAGTTGTAAAACAAGTTGAGTTATGACATCTGACAGCGACAGGCCGATTAGGCTCTTGCGTTGGTCTGGAAGGAATGAAAGGGCAGACTGCAGCCAGGGAAAACTGTCCGCTTTTGCGCCTTTGCGCTTTTGCGTTTCTCGGCCCGCTAGCCTACGAGCCAGACTAGACTTGCGATGCTCCTTCCACGCATGCGATAGATTGAACCGGACTACTGGGTTTCCAAGGGTCGAGCCTGTTATGATTTTACTGTCGTGAGACTTCCCCCAGTTAAATGATCCACTAACGACATGATTTAGGGTTTAGGGAGCATCAGATGAACGAGCCTGACAAGCACTGTTTATCATGCAAGACACCTTGTGAGTTGCCGGAGTAACCCAGCTCAGAAAACTTGCTTTGACCATTTTCTGTACTGCAAGGTCGGCACACCGCCGGCGTAGAGGTTTGGACCAGAGAAATGGCTGAAACCTGCTGCCATGTGAGACGCTTAGCGAGCAATCCATCAGCGAGTTTAAAGTTAAGCTGAACCCCTCTTATCCACACGACTCCATGCATTTAGGAGTATTTCATTCTTATCGGGTGGAAACAATGGAGCGCCAAGGCTGTCTCCTCCCTATTTGACTCTCGGTGCTGGTCATCTGCCATATGGGGTTATTCAAGCTATTCTGGGTTGGAGTTCGAAGACTTACGTAGGTGCCATCATATCGTTTTGCCAAATAGAAGCCAGTGAAGCTTCAAACAGTGACGTATGTTTAGCTCACTGTTTCTCAGCATGAGATCCCCAAGCGCTGACAGGTGGATTACTGAGCCGTATGAATTAGCTCACCTTTGATACAGAGGCTGTCTCTGGAAGATTATGTGCGAAAATAATGGCGCCGGAACGACCTCGTTCCCGAACGGCCAAGCCCGTCCAAGAGGAATAGCCTCGACCAAAATGATGACAACTGTAGACGTCGTAGAATTATTCCAATGCTACGGTAGGCGGTTCTCGTCTACCAGAATGCAACCCTCTCTCTCAAGCCCTGCCATTTTTGAGAGAGAGGGTTGCATGCAGGAAGGAGATCTTCCCGGGAAGTGGCCCCCGAATGAGTACAGCGGGGTGAGCGATATTGGGTGCCATAAGTCCCGAAGGTGGTGTTGGTCCAAATTCGTAGCTGTCATGCTGCCGACGGTCCATCGGCGTGTCTACACTGCGCTACACGACTGTGTCTATTTACTTGTTCGTAACACTTGAGCATTTTCTCACATGCCTTTCCAATGTTGGTGTTCTGTGGGACCGAGGTTTCCGAAAAGAATCATGTACATACCGCATGAGAAGAAAGCGCCTTTTCAGCTAACTTCATGATTGAGATGCTTCGACATAGCCTCCTGCAATGACGTTTGACAAGACAAGCAGAGCGCTGGCCTCCGCACCGGGAGCCGCGCGCTACGGCTTCGTGATCGACACCGGAAATCCAATTTATCAAAAACGCATCGAGTTGCGATGGGATTTGCTCTGCGCTCTAATTGCTTTGGACGGTTTGCCTGCCGGCGCGCGTTTTTGACACCATTGTAGTTCCATCAAAAGAAGTCAAATCCCAATTCCATGTTCTTTGTGTACCTTATCCAATGTACAGAACTCAGCGAACCAGACAAACGTTGAAGTTTCCAGCCTGTCCGTGGCATGGTGCCAAACAAGCAGGTTGTCAGAGGGCCGAGGACCAACTGCAGCCGCACCGGCCGGCAGGGTGCCGACTTGGGGAGAAAATCGTGGAGGAGCAGGATGCAGGAAGCAACCGGGATTAAGTGGGGGGTTCCTTGTCAATGAGTCGCGGACCCGGGGTACTTAGGATGCCGCACTCTTTTTTAGGGGACGGTTTTCGGCGATGGGACGAAATCTGGCTATCGGCGATGATCCTCGATCGCCATGTGTCACTGCAGATGAGGGTGCACGATGATTCCGTACTATGCAGTAACACTCTGCATGTCTTGGCCACGGGAACTCAAAAGACTATTCGCGGCAACTTGGAGCTCAGCTGGACAGTTTGTCAGCATCTTAGCGGGTGAGTTATCGCGAGGCGAAGCTCTTCCTCTTGGCTAACGCGCCGTTTCAACCAGCATGAACCTAAATGATTCAATATCCTTGCCTTTCGGCAAATCGTTCCCAGTCGACTGCAGGCGCAATCTCCGGGCGA